GTCTGGCAAGAAAGCAAAACCACACAAACTTTTCTATCCTACCTTGGTTATTATATTGTTTTTCTACCATTCAAAATAAATGCCTATCCATACTAAATTAAGGTGTATGAGTAACGTTTCCTAGGTGTGCTTCAGTGTTTTATTTACAATTTTCCCTGGGGATGGATTCCACCTGCAATTACCATTTTGTGTTATTTGTGTTTAAGTTAATGCAGAATGTACAGCCCCTGCTATGTGTGTGTGATGTCCTTTGAAGAAAAGCATTTCTCTTGAGAACTGCATGGTGGCACAGCTCGTGTGCTTCTGTGATATTCAGGAGAGATGAAACTGTTAGCTGGTGCTGATCAGACAAGCACATAAGCCTGACTTTTAAAAGGTTCTTCTGCGTTACTATATTTATTTTGTTGGAGCCACAGAAAAATGCGTTCTTGTCAAAATGTGTCTTTAACAGGCTTTGCTTGCCATTCTTCTTGTGGGCTGGAAATTCAAACAGAAGCCTAATAGACACTTCAACCTAATCAACAACATTTATTTTCTGGATCTAATTTCACCTTCTGGTTTATTCCTGACTGTCCTGGGGGACAAGTGAAATGAAATAAAATTACACGATGCTAATAACTTCACAATCACTTAATGCACATATTTTCAAGCCTGTACTTGGGAATAGATGGTACTCAAGGCACTGTGAATGTAAATTAGGTTTATTTTACTTTTGTGATGTTCTGTAGGTGACATCTGAACTGCAAAGAAGGATCATTTATATAGGAGAGATTGAGCATGCTACACGTTCGATCTGAAACACACAGAAAACACACGTGGCTGTCTCTCTTTGCCATGTAGTTACTTACCTTTCTCCTCATTTTAGGTGATTTTGGCAAATTGTTTTTATATTATTTTAATCTTCCTGTATCCTGACAGAGAGAGAATCATAGAATCATTAAGGTTGGAAAAGACCTCCAAGATCATCAAGTCCAATCTTTGAGCCTACCCGCGAAGCCGTATCACAAAGTGCCATGTTCACTTGTTTCTTGAACACTTTCAAGGGTGGTGATTCCACGCCTACCTGTGTTATGGGTTTTCATATCCTATCAGTGCCTTTTTAAACTTTTTTTATAAGTGTGTATTATTCCTTTCAGGCTTTATACTGTCCCTATAGCAAAACTTCCATTTATCTAAGAGCAGAAAAGCATATAAGTATTTCATAGTACAGAGAGGTTTTTATGTGAGTTTGTGGGAGCTCCAGATTTGCTGAATATTTCTGCAAATCCGGCTTTTGGTGTTTACTGTGTGCTTTTGTGTGCTGCAATACTGAAAGGTTTCTCTGACTTTCACAGACATTTATTGAGAGCAGATTGTACCAAATCACAACCTTTACCCATAGCCAACGCTCCCATATACAGCACTAATGAGTCCTAGCTGGTAAAAACACATCTCTGTGTGATATTTTGGCCTCACAAGAAATCCTTCCCTGATGTCACAGCTGTCTCTGATGTGTGCCTGCACCCAGGTCCTGCCAAGCAGATGCAGAGACCCCTGACTGTGATTCAGTACCACTGAGCTCTTACAACTGCTCACCATTTGAATTCCAGGAGCAAGCAGGGAAAGTTGTTGTTTCTTGTTTCTCTTCTCTTTGCTCTTAATGCACCTCGGTGCCAGAGCCTGGCTGTGTGAAGTGTGGAAGCTGAGGATGTGATCTAAAAGCTTGCTTTAAGCCTGCACTCTTACCACTTGCTTTTAGAAGACTCTGGATCAGGGAAGGCTGTTACAGTCCTGTGATATCTGTTAGAAGTGTGGCATGTGGTCTGCAGAAAAAAACAGCGAGAAGACCATGCCAAACATGATAAAACCATGTCAGTTATGGCAAAGTGTACAGCCATCAAATAGCCTTATCAAGTTTATTAACATGGTGTTTAAAGTGCTACTATTGCAAGTTACACAAAATACGGGCAGTGACTCTTCAGGGTTTGAATACAGAACACAATGTACCTCCTCAGTGGAGGTAAGGTAGGTATACACATAATCTGTCATGTGTATGGATATACATACACCATCTGTCTCTTCTGCCAGACAGAATAAATAAACAGTGCAGTCCATCTGTGTCAATCTTCTTAGTTTCATATCTATAAAGTTTGGAAGTGTTTAATCTCTTCCACACCTAGTCATACTGATCAATAGATGTGCTTCTGTATAGTATAATAATAATAAATATACACTATTATTTATTATTTATAAATATATTAAATAATAATAATAAATAAACATGAATCATTAGCTAATATAAATATAGATTGCCAGTAAATCACTTTCAAAGGGAACCAGCTGTGCAGAGCTTGATCCTGACCTGGGGGCACCCACACCCCTGGATCTTCTCCTCTTTCCTCCCACTGGGAGCACAGTGCAGTGGTAGCAATAAGTGCATCTTTTAAAGCAAGCCAACAATTTTTGAATGACAATTTATTTACATAGGCGAGGAGAAATAGCTTCTTGGCAACTGTGTACATGCCAAATGCTGATTTTCTATTTTAACTTCTAGACACAATGGCAACTGGCTTATTTGGAAGATGACAGATTATGAACTGAAGGGAGAGCTAATGAGGGAGGAGCAAACATGAGCCCAAATCTGCACTTTCCCAGTGCAGCACCTCAATTTACAGCTTGGTGAAACACCTGAAATTGGGTTTGGGTCCATGAAGATTTTGAAATAACCAAACAAATTTATTTTTAGCTGCAAATATGAAGTAACTTTAAAATAGGAATGACAAGCTGGACAATCCAGGAAAACAAGGAAGAGTGTGGGAACCATTTGATAAGGCTACCAGGCTACCTTGGAACATCTGCAGGGTAGATGCCTCCTCCCTTTTTTGTTACAGGCAGTTGGGAAGGGACAAGAAATGAAATCCATAAAAGGTGAATCATTGTTTTTCACCAGCAATTAGCGTTGCCTATTAAAACTGTCAGGAATTACTCAGATGGTGTTCCTAGCACAATATTTAGGGAGTTAACAGGAGGTTGGCAAAAAATACTCCAGCCATCCTTCAAAAAATAACCCAAAGACGACATGTTTCATGGCTTCTTCTCCAGCATCACCTGGGTCCATCCCTTTTGCAGCCTTACAGCAAACAAATCACAGCTCCTCTATCTCTACCTTGGGATGAGGCTTCTCAAGATGGGAGAGCCATAGTTCTGCCCACATCTGTTTTAGCAGTGTGTTTAAGAGGAAAAAAGTGCTGCAATTGCCTCATTTCTCCTTTTTTCTGATCAGTGCTGGTGATAATGGTTTCCTTGTTATGGCTTGTAGACTCCAGCACACCGCTGTATTGAAGCATAGGAGGGCTCAAATCTGACTCTTAAATAAAAAAGGTTTTGGTTCCAGCACAGCATGTTTGTAAAATATCTACTGACAAGTCAAAAACTGTTCCACATGGCCTGTAAAACATATGTTAAAAATTATGCATCATAGACCAGCTTTAAATTATTCATTTTTAATTCCTTCAGCCTTGAAGGGCCTTTAAACATTGACTACTAAGAAACAATCCTGCCACTGAGGGAACAGCTATAAAATAAAAAACTGGCTACTTGAAAATATAGAGAAAAATGCTTTACCTAGGCACAGTTTCTGAATTTTAAAATATGAATAAAGGTCTGGATCCCCACTTGGTAAAAGCTGATACAGCTCCTTTGAAGTCTGCATAACTATCCCCCATCAGCAGTTGAAAGTCCTGGCCCAGACTTTAGAATAGATATAACTTCTCTACATAAGACGACAAGCAAGATTTGCATGGTTAGTTCAAACTATTCCATATTCACTGAGCTGTTGAGGAAATACTGTCTGTGAAACAAATCCTGGATTCTTTCCCAAAACCATCTAAATGACACTTGCTAGTGAAATGCTACAGCAGGAGAGGGATCGGATCCAGCACACTGGGCTGGACCCTGCTGTAATTCCGATGGCATTATCAGAGAGCACTTGTTACCTCCACGCTCATTGGGGTGCATCAGGGAAGTTGAGAGCATCTGAAGGAATTAAGTGAGTGTAATACTGATATAAAAAGGAGAAATAGGCTCTACACTTGCTGTTTCAGGTGGATTTGGTCTTGTTCTCTGCTCTTGGCTCAGCCAGGTGCTGGCAGAGACCTGCGGATCTTCCCCATGCTCTGCACTTCTCCATGCTACACCAGTATCACTGTGTCATGCCTCCCTGAGGCATCTCTGGGGCAAATACATTCCTCTTCTGCTTTGCTTTACAGAAAGGAGCCTTTCTGAGCAAACACAGCCACTGTCTCCTCCTTGCAACTTGTGACTGAGGTTGTTGTGGCTGGAGAGGTGCACCATATCTTTTCTCTTGTGTGCTTCAGAGAAATGGTGCAGAGACAGGACTGAAAACACAGAATAAAATAAAATAAATTTTAAACATATTATATTTATATGCTATATGCTATATATATAATATATTATATTATATGCTATATTTATATAGCACTCCCTTTCTTCAGTCACAGAATCATAGAATAGTTTGGGTAAGAAGGCATTTTAAAGACTATGTCATCTCACCCCCTCTGCCATGGGCAGGGACACCTTCCACTAGACCAAGTTGCTCAAAGCCCCATCCAGCCCAGCCTTGAACACTGCCAGGGATGGGGCATCCACAGCTTCTCTGGGGAACCTGCACCAGTGTCAACTCGATTAACTATTAATAATTAAGACATTCTTGGCTGCTGGGTCAAGCTTTCCTTGATACAACCTAGTGAAACTTTATATGTTGTATGATGATAAATCAGCTTTTTTACTAGCTACATTTTTTTTTTTTCTGTTGAACTCATGGAGAGACGAGGTGTGGTACAACAGGCAGTGAAATGCAGAGTGCTCAAACTCTTCTTCCTCATCCCTCTCTCATTCCCTCCCTCCATAAATGCTTGGGAGAAATCTCCAAACCTGATGCACAACCCTGTTACTAGTGAGCTGTTCCCCAGAGATTCTTTTTCATAAATAGTCCCACTCACCCATTATTATTGTGAAGCAAATGAAGCACCAAATTCAGCCAATTTGCCTGAAGGTATGAGAGCATCAAGGCAAAAAAGTAACAGAGACACTACCAGACGGTCAAATCGGAGCTCCTCATCTCACCTCCAGCAAAATGTCAAGCAGCTCCTGGGAAAAAACAGTGAACAGCTATTTAATAGACTGTTTCCACCACACAGTAATTTCTTGTATTGATACAGTCCTCGTAAAAGAAGACTAATGTGCTTTTCTTTTCTTTTATTCTTCTTTTTTTTTTTTTTTACTGCTCATTACTGTAGATTAAATCCCTTCCAAACTCTGTTTATGAAGGATATAACACTATGCTGCTCTTCAGTATTCAGAGGCAGGATTCAGTGACGGGGTGAGTCCCTCGAAGGGCTTGTACAGGCTTCTGCTCCCTCAGCAGAAAGCTCAGGCTGTCACAGGTGCTCTCACCCGCATGCAAATGTCTGCACAGCGCGGTACACGATGTGACACCGGTCTAAATCCACACTCAAGCTTTTACTAATATAACTCTATGGAAACAAGCTCAGTGGTGATTGATGAATTACAGCTCCCACATAGCACGTTACAGTTTCCAGTGGAAGTACCTTGTGCTGGATTTAATAAACCAACAACGTGGGCAGTTTCAGCAAGTAGATTAATCACCTGTAAACTCGTCTGCCTCACAAAGGGAGTTGTGCACTGGCTGTCCAGTGTTACGGAACATGTTTTTCAGAGCTCAGGAATGCATTCTCCTCTCTGATATGTGCTGTGCATGTTCACTGTGCATATTCTGCCTACAGAAGGGTGGAGGAGAGAAGATCAGAGATCATTTGCTTCTTTGGAGGTGCTATAATCCCCCACTTCTAGTCATGACCCCAGTCTTTAAACATCTCATGGCTCCAGTCTTTACAGATCGACACTAAAAAAGCCAGCATTATGTTGTTAAATAGTTTTAGCAGACACTTTATCACTTGAATGCATCTGTCTGGGGGATTCTTTAATGATGCTGCTTTCTTTTTAATTCTACAGGTTTTTATAGTCACCTTAAAAATGTCTGGTGCGGGACAGAAAGAAGAGGGCTGAAGTACCTGTCCTGTAAAAACAGGCTAAGGGCAGGGATTGTGCAGAGCAGAGATGAGAAGTCATTGGGGAAACCTTAGAGCACCTTTCAGTGGGGCTGCAAGAAAGCTGGAAATGTTTGTTTTGGATTTTTTGTCCCCCAAGGGAATAACGTAGGGATAGGACAAGGGAGAATGGCTTTTAAATGAAAGAGAGTAGGTTAAATTAGATATTCAGAAGACATTCATTCCTGTGAGGGTGGTGAGACATGGGACCAGGTTGCCCAGACCAGTTGCAGATGACCCATCTGAGCAGCCTGGTCTAATACAAGGTGTCCCTGTCCGTAACAGGGGGGTCGGAACTAGATCGTCTTTAAGGTTCCTTCCAACCTAAACCATCCTGTAACTCTGTGACTACCGACTATGAGCTATTTTTATTAGCGATGCCACACAGATTTTCTGCCCTGAGAAGCGCCGAATTTCCTTCCACTTTCCCTGCTGCCTGCAGCCCAATTTCAGACACAGCAGTTTGGGGCTTGTGGCAAACACAGACATTCCTGGCAGATGACTCTCGGGAGGACCCGAGAGCCGGATTTCATCGCGGCGGCGCTCGGGGTGAGCCCGGGCTCGCCTCGCACCTCTGAGGAGCCCGGCTCCGCGGCCTGGGCTGGGAGGGAAGCGGGGCGACACGGGGGACAGCGATGGGGACAGCGATGGGGACAGCCATGGGGACAGCCATGGGGACAGCCATGGGGACAGCCATGGGGGGCACCTGCAGTGAGCTGGGGCTGCTGAGGGCTGGAGGGGAGGTGGTGAGGGGGTGCTGGGGGGCCGCCCCTCCC